GTGGATAAGAGTAGGGACTCCCCGCCGACGAGAAGGGTTCGACTCCCCGACTGAGTAGAGGCATTGAAGAAGTGCTTGAAAGCCGTAACAGTCGGCAGGCGGCCTAGGGCACGACAGAGGAGTTCAAAACCCACTATCTTGTTTATAGCGGTAGGGGTCAGTTCTCTCACAGAAAACTCGTATTCCCGGATAATCAGGTTGAAGAAATATGTGGTAGGCAAGCGTAGACCCGCCTTGAACAAGGCAATTGGGATGCCGACTTTGCCCTCGGGAGGACAGTAAAGTGATGCATCGGGTAGAGGGATTTTCACTCCGTGTTCGGGAACGAACCCGAATAGGAACTCGAAATATTCCCATTCTTCAGTGGTAAGATCCCTTCCCACAGAACAAGTGGCGGCCATGGAAAAATATGAAGAAATGGTTGAAAGGGTTTTCATAGAAACAAGAAGTCGAAGAGAGAAACGTAGAAGGTAAGGAGGAAACGCTAGGAGGAACAGAGGTTTAAATGCCACAAAAGGGACAACGAACCGTTTTCATGATGAAACCGCCGAACAATGGCGATTTCGTCCTTCCAACTGCATAAGCTATCAATAGCAGCACGCCATGTGTCTGTGAGTAGACCAGGACAACTCTGCTACGCCACGAACGCAGAGGCCTACCGGTCTAAGGGACTTGTTAACGTTACCATGAACGGCCACGTTAAACGTAACGGAAAGCATAAACGAGACGTTATCTCGTCAGGACCTTGGACAAGGCCCGGTCTTGGCCCAAGCAATCCAGCATCGGGGTGGCAGTTCGTTTCCCTCCACGAGGGACGAATATCTCTCGTGATCTTCTCATTCACACACGACCAATCAGGACGTGACAAAAAGATTAGGTGATGCCCAGAACTGACGTCACCAGGCAGTTAGTTAAAGTGGGCGTGATCCTCCCAATCAGAGGAGGCCACGTCTTGCTCTCATCGGACGAGGTCCCCACGATCCATTAGAAACATGTATAAAAGGATCTCTTCTGCCTCAAGGAAGGGATCCATCTTCTCTCTCACGAATATTACCCTAGAGTTCTCTCTCTCAAAAAAATAACTAGATCGTCGGAGTGGTGTCCCGGGAGAACACCCAGATGTCCTTTAACGATTCTTCTATGTTGTGTTCTCAGGAAAGCTTCCAGGACAGATCCATCATCCAGCATCCAAACCCCTGTAGAGCTTGTCACAACAGAAGGTATTGTGATTATCGTCTAGGTAGTGATTATATTGGAGCTTCCTCGGTGTAGAGTCTGATCACATTAAAAAAAAAGTGAAATGCTTTAGTTTCCTTTATTTTATTTTAGTTCCTTTTTAGGTCATCTACATATTTCCTTTATAATTATAATGTTTAATCTTTTTACTACTTGAGGGCAAGTAAGGTTTAAGCTTGGATAGATTTGATAGATGTCATTTTATGCATCTTTTATAGTAGTTTTTATTAGCATTTTCCATCATATTTTATGCTTTTTCATGTGCATTAGTATAAATAATATCCAGCTCATGTATTTCGTCAAAATTCCTATACTGCTCAAGGTTTTATGTCATTTTTAGATATTTCAAGTGGAGCGATACTTTGGGAGCAGCTTTGGATGCATTATAGGAGCTTAGTGGAGCTAAAACACCTGGGGAAGCTGGAACATAGGTTGGATTTGCTAAAACTGAAGAGTTTGCGTCAGAAACGTGTGTTTTAGGAAAATGATGATCATGTTTTTCCTATATGATTGTGCTTTACCTTTGCATCTTTTCTAAGCTAAAAATCAAAGTTTTAGGACCTCGAAGCAAAAATTCAATCGTTCTGTTTCAAGAAACACGATTGTGTTTTCCATATTTTGTTAGATATATAGCAGCGTACTTCATTGATCGAGACTTTTTGAGACTTCAAACGAAAAATGTGATGGTGATTTCTAAAAACACGTTCGCGTTTTTCTTTTTCTTGCTCCGGAAGTTTCTAGCTTGAAAACAAATACGACATATCTGATCAGATTAAATCCTAGACATTCCTAGACGAAGAAAAACCCTTTTCAGTGGATTTTTTAGGGTGATTTCTACACTTTAACATCGATTATGAAGAACTGAAGGTTGTGGATCATCTCATTCATCTAGTTTGGTAACGTTTAATTATTTAATGTCTCTTTTAATTGTTCTAGACTTGTTTTTAGCCATGTCTGGCTAAACCTTTGATTTCAGTTTTGTATAGATCATTACTTTTCATGTAATCAATCATTAGATCTGGTTTTTGATTTTTGTTTCTATCTAGATATTTTAGTTTTGATCTTAATGAATGTTTGATTTTAGTTCTTAATTAACTTAGTCACCTAATTTAGTATTAAATCACTCTAATTAATCAATTTTTAGAGTCCGTAATTATTCTAATAAACTGGTAATAAGTAACAAGTAATAGATTGGTTCCATGTTAGGATTTAATTTTAATATAAACCGAAATTTCATATTTTTACACTGAGCTTGTGAGAAATATTGGATATTGTTGAGAATTTACATGGATCATAATGCTGTTTTTCTAATTTGATTAAGAGCTTATTTAACTAAGTTAGTAAAAATTTAAGATTGACCGAAGAGCTTATTTAAGTTACCTGATTAGGTAAAAGAAAACTTACTAGAGCTTATTAGTAGATTTTCAGTAACGACTTAGAGCACATTTTGAATAACTAGGTTTGTGTTGATTGCATGATTAGAAAAGTGACAACATAACTAAATTCGTTTTCTATTACTGAATTTTATTTACTTTATTTCACTGCTATTTTAGTTTTTAATTAATAAACAAAATCATCCTTTTATATTTTTCTGTTTTTGACTAGTATGTGCTTATGCAAAGATACATTGACTCTTAGGATGTGTTCCCGTGGATTCGACTCTGCTTCACTGTGCTATCCTTTAGTACATTCGAGCAACGATTTTGCTTAAGACGTACGTGACAGCATCTTAACAAACAGTTTGGGTAATATGGTTGTATCAAAATAGTGTCATATTTTATCCAAATACCTTTCATAAGGATATGATTATAGAGCGCATTAATACTTGGGTTTACGATTGGATAAAAAAATAGGAATCGTAATTTTAGTACAGGTCGGTTGGATCACTACTAGAAAATGAGGTATCACCGACGGACAATTCTGTCACTAATCCGTTGTAAAGGCCTTCAGCGACGGATTAGCGACGGAATTACCCGTCGTAAAAACCCTTGTCTCTAATTGCCAGCGACGAATAAGCGAGGGATTTAACGACGGATTAGCGATGACACCAATTTTTCAGAGAACCTTCGGATTCCATCGCCAATCTGTCGCTAATCCGTTGCTAATGAGTTATTTAGCTACAAAATAAGTTGTCGACAAAGCTCATAAAACTAGTGGATTCCATCGTTGATGACATTTTTATCATTATTTTCCTGTTCTAAATATACAAGCAGAATTTACAAGATGAAATTCAATGTACAAATTAAATTTAAAATCCAACTACTAAATTAAATAATGATAGTAGACTAGAAAATCAAGTGTCAGAGTATATATCTATTTCGAAGTGTCAATGTATACATCGATTTCAAAGTATTAAGACCAAATTACAAAAATCAGATGTGAAAGTCTAATAAGTTGGGTAGGTTACATCGTTGGGCGAGTTTTAGAATATCCTTATAAATTTCTTGTTTTTTGACCTCAATTTCTTCAAGTTCCAACCTAAGCTCATCCTTTATATCCTCATGAATAAGTTCACCGATAACCTACAAAGAAAAAGACGTTACTATTCAAAAAGGGTGTCAACATTTTCAAAACCCCAATATAGAATTTCTGGATATATCAAGGCTATGAGTCCAACTGTAAAATGGTAAATGTTTTCGGAATCCTGTTAGCACTCACCATCATCCATGATGTGCATGAAGTAAAGCTCAAAGAAACAAGCCTAAAAAAGATACCAAACAAAAGGTAAAATGGAATTTCTGAAACAAAAACAAGGCATATGTAATTAGTGGATTTTGTAACACTCCAAACTCATAAAAAATAGAATGTACAAAATTTCTAATAATTATTAGGGTAATACATCAAATACAAATCCTAGCTATATCATTTCCTAATTATGTGAAATCTATTTATAACCAAAACGAGTAAATAGCTAACATGTTCCAAATTACTAAATCTGTTTTTTTATAGTTCTTTCTAAGGCTTAATTGATGATGATTAAGTGGATGACAAAAACTTAACATATTATCGGAGGATGCTATAATAACTAACAAATAATAAGAAAAATTAATAACATTGAAAACAAAGAATAGAACAATATATGTGCTAATTTTGGAACAAGTGGCAGCAATTTAACAGATAATTGGAGAGGAAAAGGACTCACCAGTGGCACAACATGGAAGGTACTATGTATATCTAACTACCAAGAAATACAATCCAAGACCAAATTAGTCAAAACCACCATATGTTAGTCCCTTAAATTAGCTAACTTTCAATCAAGGAAAAGGCACTATAAGAAAAAGACCCTTTTACGATGCGCAAACCACGACACTCGTTGATTTATGTTACGCAAAAGAGAGTGACATTAAAAAAGTGTCATCTCTTCAAAAAATTTAAGGATAGAGGACACGCATTATTGCGTGCCCTTAAAGTAGTGTCTCATGTAAAAAAATTAAAAACACGGAGGGCACTTTATCTAAAATGTGCGTCCTCTGTGAATATCGTTTTATATTTTTTTTAAGAAATGCGCATCTCTCTTCTTAGAGGTAAAATGAAATCCCCAAAACTTTTAAACCTCGCTTTCTTCTCCTACATTCGTATCGATCTGTTCTCTAACATCTCCTCTCCTTCGTCTCCGCCCCTCACCCACCTCCACTACCTCCAACCCGCACTGACTCTTCAGGCCTCACACGACGATGATGTTCAGGCCCTCTCGACCAACACTTCATCCACCATCACCGTTCCATTTATGTGAGCCCTAAGAATTAACGGAGACGGAGAAGACTATGGAACAATCAATGTACATCAAGTTTAAGGTTACAGTCTCAAGATTTCGTCTGATAATTGTACTCTCTCTCTCTCTCTCTCTCTCTCTCTCTCCTTCTCTGTTTTTCTTGCAATTGATTTTTGAAAAAAAAAATATTGATAATCATCGTCTTCATCTAAGTCAAGAAATTTATGGATGTTTGATTCACTAATCACTATCCTCAAGCCAATCCCAGAAAGAGTTCAATTTGATCGTTTTTTCTCATGTTCGTGATGTTTTTCTTCTGATAAATAAGTCAAATTATGGTTGATGTTTCATCCTCTACATGTCTCTATTACGCTTGAACCCTAATTTCAGACACCAGTATCTCTTTTTTTTCTTGCGACTTCGTTCTCACTCCTTCTTGCCTAATCGATAAATTTCCACCATGAATATAAGCGACAAAGAAGCTGGTTATCAACCTCCAACCTGATGACTAGCAAATAAAAACTTTTTCCATTAATGGTTCCTGGTTGTGGTTTGTCTGCATCAGCATCAACATCAACAAAACGACCCAAATACTAGTCAAAGAAGTCAAAGCCACATGTAAATGGAAAATCTCCTTCCACCAATGCTACTAAAATCACGAAAACAGAGAAATCTTATGATGTTCAACTTGAATTCAAACATAGGATCACTCAGGTAATTAATTGTAACCCCATATAAACCTCTGACTTCTTTCCTTACTGAGTTTCTCATGATTTGTGCCCACAAGTGCACGGTGTTGGAGGTTAAAGTGATAGAAGGTCTTGGAGCAACCATGGATTTGGTATTGGTTAATGGTGTTCTTCATGAAGGAGATGAGATTGTTGTTTGTGGCTTTTAGGTTATTAAATATTTATATTTTTTTTTTTTGATCCAATGAGCTTATTATAACTCATTGTTATTTAAGGTCAACTGTATTCTATGATGCCAGGTGGCATTGATATTGTTCACCTCCTTAACAGAGACAATTGGTGATTCTTTTCGACCATATTTTGCTGATTTACAAGCACTTCTACTCAAGTTCCTACAAGATGAGATTAGTAATAATGTTAGAGTGGCTGCCCTCAAGTAATGTTCTATGTCATTATTTCTCTTTTTAAAATTGGTTTTTTAGACACAGTTATAATGTTGGCATCATCTTGAACAGGGATGTTGGATCTTTTATTGAATTCACTCCTGATGCATCTGAAGTGGTAAGTCTATTTGTTCCCTGGAGGGTAATATTGTAATTGTTCTACTTGTTCTAAAGCTACATCCCTATCATATACACACAGATTAAATTTTGCGAATTTATCCCAAGCATATTAAATGACACTTCTGCCACTGATGGCATTAGTTCTCGTGATGTTACCCATATACAGGGTTTGAGGGCAAAAGTGGTAAATCAAGTAAGAAATCTTTCTGTTGAAGCCGCTGGGAAGGGTTCTGCCAAAAAAGATCTCAACAGCCAACGCAACACCTTTAGGGATATTCTTGAATTTCTTGAGGTATTTGTCTATTAATTTGTTTGAAATGATCGATAATTCGATATACATGTGTTTATTATTTATTATTTATTTTGACGAGTTTAGGGCGGTTATGCCCCTAAAACCTCCGTGAAAATTGGTGGAGAGTCGCTTACAACTACAACATGGTCCCAACTAATCCAGGTTTGGTTTAGTGCTCTTTGGCTCATATTGTGTTTGATGTTGATGGAACTCTTTAATGTGCAAAAGACATGAATACCCTTTTTATATTTCATGTGTTTTGACAGTTAAACTTTTTGAAGCGATTTCTTGGTGGAGGATTTGTGAAGCACATGCAGGTTCGATTGCTAGTATCTCAAAAAGCTTGTTATTTATGTTTTACATTACAGAATGTAAAACTATGATCACAATAGAAAAAAATATTGTTTATGTTTAGCACATTTCTATGTAAATGATTGATTCAATTTGTACAGGAAAATGAATTTCTTCATGAGGTATTCGACTTCACACCAAAGAAAAAGATTCTATCAAGCACAGATCGTGTATCAGGGATTGATAAGGTTTGGTTTGTTCATATTCTTTTTGGGTCATGTTTTTTTTTAACTTGTTACTATTTGGGTGTCAAGTTTGTTAACTGATATAAGAATTTACCAATTTACCCATCACAGAGGATGTACAGGTCTCCCAACTCGATAGTCAACAAGGCAAGGAATCAGTTTCTGAACAAACAGCGGATGATGTCCCAGGTACACCAGGCGTTGATTGCATAGGGCTGGTACAACGGAATGGAATCGGTCATTACATCCCATGATGTTGTTTTGGTGATATATATGAATGAATGAATTTTCATATGAACTAAAACAAAAAAGTTTAACACAATAAAAGCCCATTAGAACTCAGTAAGTTTAATAACAAAATTTATATTTTTTACTTTTATAAAAACAAAATTTTACTAATATCTTGAGGTTTCATATAATCTTTTATTCTTTATTAGTTTGAAGCGAATGAATACTTGTTGCATCACATATATACATTTTTAACAGTCTTTTTTTTTTGTTTACACTATAGTCTTGCTGCGAATGAATATCTTGAGGTTTCAATCATTAAGTTTAATGCCCGTGTCCAAGAGTGATCAGATTTGAGTAACAAACTTAATTACATTCCTGGCTGTTGGATTCCATTCCTGGTCATTGCATATAGAACACATATTTTCCTATTATAATCTTATTTGGGTTTTAATGATGTTCTATTAGTTTGTTTAATTTTTACCTTGTTTATTCCATTCTTTGCATTGCATATAGCAGACATACTAATACTGACTATGTGACTAGATAATAGTTAGTATCTATGATGTATCTGTTGATTTTACTAATGTGGGAGAGCTCCTCAATGTATAATCCATAACCACATTTTATTCTATGCCAAATAATAATAATAATAAAACTTAGGTGTCGATTTTGAGTCAAACTAACTAATGTTTATTTTGGAATCTAATGAGTATTCTTATATTTTGTTTTAGAGTTTTGAAAGGTGAATTACAAAAGGATGGGTGATACCAATGAAATCAAAGCATCCTTCTACACTTTTTTCGTTTTTACAATTGTTATCTTTCTAATACTCTGTCTGCTTCATGACAGTTACCATGCAAAAACTGTGATAAATAGTAAGTTTACCCCTTTAAAGGACCCCATTCAACAAGGATCAAATATTGACATCAAGGGTTCAAACTGCTCTCTTTAGTAAGGTAATTATAGGTTGAAATGAAATAGTCGATTTACTTGAGATTATTGTGATTTTTACAGAAATAATCGATATTTTAATTTTCAAAATTGAAATCCAAAATGAAGTAATTATTTAGTTATATGGAATATGATCTATGCTATTTGCTAAATCTAGTGTTTATCAAACTGTTTGTTGACATTTGCCAAATTGCTTCTATTTGATAAAATGGTTAATACATGTTTAAGTATGTATACCAATACCTTTTTTGATATAGCGATATAATAATTTATCTATTCCACGAGTTTTTTTGCAAATATTTATCTAGAAACTTGATTAATTTGTTTTATATTTATCTTTATCTTTCGAGTAGGAAGAAAATCCAGAATGGTATTCACGGGCAATCAACTTTATCTCAGAACCTGTTATAGACTACACTGCAATTTATCTATTCAGGTTATTCTTTTAGAAAGGAAATTGTCAAAGGAGAATTTAGTCATGGGTTTCTTTTAATGTTGTACATGTTTTGTTTTCTATAATAAATATTATGCAATATTAGCAATGTGTTACATTTACTTACTATTGGAATGATTATTTGTATTTGACATATTAGTGCAATGAATTATCTTTATTGTTTATGGTATTTTATTTTGTATTATGAGACTTTTAATGTGTTATTTAATTTGAAAGTTAGTAAATCTATCAAAAATATATAATTTTAAAAACATTTAAAATTATGACGCACAAAAATGCGTGTCGTCTTCATTTATGACAGGGGCTTCGTTGATACGCGTTGCGTATCATAAACACGTGCGTCGTAAGGTTACGACACGCAAATGCATGTCGTCTTCCTTTATGACAGGGCCTTCCTTGATACGCATTGCGTGTCATAACTGCGCGTCGTGAATGCGTGTCATAAATGCGCTTCTTAAATAGACGACGCGCAAAAGCGTGTCGTCTATCGTTATGACAGGGCCTTTCTTGACACGCATTTGCGCGTCGTCTGAGCGTTTTACGACACGCATTGCGCGTCGTAAAAGGCTGTTTTTCTAGTAGTGAGGGTAAACTGGTGTACCTGGAGACATGTCATTGGTGCTCATTTTTTCTCAAATAATCATACTTCAAGTGACACACACTTCTTGTCCGGAACAATCAGTTTTAGAAGAATAACTCTTGAAATTAAGATAAAACGTATAACCACGATTAGGAATCTGGACTTGTGAATGGTCTTGTGATGTTGCCTTATGCTACAAGAACAAAAAAATCGAGGTTCATGACGAGAATAAAAGAGGTTAAATTGTCAATAACTCGATAGTACCCATGTAAGCTGCACTAGAAAGGTACAAGCTAATCTATGGAGTGTTACCTTCGTTTGATGTTAAGCAATTTTCCAGTTTAGGAGACGAAATTGACGGCAAAATTCGAAGGTCGTGTGGCTTCTTGCTTGTTCTGTTTGGGATTTTTGAAACTCCTCCGTTTTACGTTTTAGAGAAAATACAGAAGTTGTTGGCACAAATGGGTATGTGAAGACGACATGTGTCTCCTCCACAACACCCTTTTCTTTGTCGTAGGGGTGGTGGCGGAGGAAATTGGCGATGTTGGGGGTGGGGTGGAAAAAGTCAGCAATGTTGGGAGAAAATAGGGTAAAGAGAATGGCATATTGAAATTAGGGTAAGATGTTTTCAGGAGGATAATATGGGAGGGAGGCGGGGGAACGAAAATATTGAGAGGGAAATGAAACTCAGCCAAAATATGGTAGGGAATAGGGAATTAGCGATGGGTTTCCAATATTTCTTGAGTAGCATTTAGGTTTTAGGGAGACTTCTAATTTCCGCCGCTGATCCCTAGCTAATCCGTCACCGATACCTCATTTTCTAGTAGTTGATGAACCCAGCATATTTGGATTCCTATGTAATACTTCTTGGTATTTCTCTAAATCATTGCTAGATGTTTTCTATTTCAATCATCCAGTTGTTCAAAAATAAGATGCAATCATTTAATAAAAGGCATATACATATATATTTATATACACGTAAAGTGGATTTTAAAAAATACTTTCTATTAATATATATATACTGATCGCTACAACATAAATCAAAATGTGCAACTTTAATATTGTGATTTCAAGTCATGAAAAGAAGCTTTATCATCAGTTCTTTCAAATTATGTTTGGCTACAAATACAATATATCAAAATGTATTTGATTAAAATTATAAAAGAATAATGTTCTTTTTGTTGGGATTCATTGATTCTAAAATGTCGTCCAATTTTTATGCCATGTCAAACTATCTCCATACTCGAAGGGAGTATGATTTGCATATTATATTAGGGTTTATGAATATATCTGCCCGCCAGAACTGCAGCTTCCATAACAAGCTTAATGGTGTTGGTAACATCATTTGCATCACATGTGTTGCCTTTGAATGTCTTGCTCCCTGCTTTCTTAAACCTTTCTACACAGCCCAACAACCCCTTGTTGCATTCCTCGCTCAAATAGTTGTCTGTAGAAAACATGTAAAAATTTGAAATTAAATGATAAGAGCACTACTTAATTAAATTGAATTCAATGATGAAGTTAATAAGCCGTTATTATAAGTTAATAATCTTTAGATATATAGAAAAATTGAAATATCAATTTTTTATTTATTAATGTTAAAAGAAAGGATTTCATTGAGATTTTCTTATATTTTATAACTTTTTTATGGATATATACCACGATATAAAAAGAGATGATTTTTTTTATACAATTTTTAGTTTTTTTTTTCTTTTTTTTTTTTTGGAAAACATATGATAAGGAAATAAAAAAATCAAAATGAATAGTGCATTCATCCAATACTTTATGTACTTTTTATAACAATCATATCTCTTGAATAAAATTATTTAGGTTTCAAATAAAACGTCATCTTATTAACCATTAGTAGCGATCAATTATAAATTAAAATCTCATAGTTACGATTTAGTTGTAGAACACTATAAAAACCGGTTATAGTCTTAAAAAAATTCATTTTATAGGTAAGTCTTAAAGTTTTAGATCAATTTTAAAATCATAATTTTAAATTTCCTTTTAATAATCAAAATTTTAAGATGTTATGGATTTATAGAATAAAATTTATTTTATTTATAAATTCATTTTATACATCTCACCTTAAAAAATCATATTTTTTAACATAGATGTACAAAATTCACGACGTCTACAAAAGTTGAATGTGTCAAATTCATGACCCAAGTAATCTACTAGCTTAACCAAAAGGGATATATATAAAATTAAAATGGTTATGAAAACTACTTAATTAAATTGAAGTCCATAACGATGAAGTCAATAAGAAGTTATAATAAGTTATTAATCATTAGATATATATTTAACAATTTGAAATACCATTTTTTTAATTTACTAATGTTAAAAGAAAAAATTTCATAGAGATTTTCTTATATTTTATAATTTTATATCCTTATGATATAAAAGTGACGGTTTTTATCATTTTTAGTTTTGGAAAATATAATGTTAGCAAAATATAAAAATCAACATGAATGCATGTATACTAATCGTTTGCTAATAGAAAAAAATATATAAATAAATCATATATGAATAATTATATGTAAATATACCATACAATAATAATATATAAGAATATACTTAATTTTATATTCACTCATAAATATTACATCTTTCGTAGCACAGATACGTTGGATTGCTTAAACGGAAAATGATAAAATATGTAGCACAAATTCATTCTTGCATTCTCAAACATTTTTTTATTAATTTTCAATTGAACACACACGACCTCTACACAAGTTGATTGTGTCAAATTCACGACCAAAGTAATCTACCAGCTTAACCAAAGGGATATATATAAAATTAAAATGGTTATGAACACTACTTAATTAAATTGAAGCCGATAACGATGAAGTCAATAAGAAGTTATAATACGTTATTAATCATTAGATACATATTTAACAATTTGAAATACCATTTTTTTTATTTACTAATGTTAAAGAAAAATTTTCATAGAGATTTTCTTATATTTTATAATTTTATATCCTTATGATATAA